CCGCTGGGAGGCGGGGCCGGCAGCCGCGTCCGTCTGTCCGTCTGCGCTCCACCTTCCCCCCACCCTCCCGACCACCACGCCGCGCGCGGCCCCTCGCTCCCGTCTTGGGTCGGTCCACGTTCCCGACGCCTCCGAGCCGCCTGGGGAAGAGCCAGGCGCGGAGCCCTGGGGGGTCGTGGGCCAGAAGCGGACAGTGAGAGCCTGGGGCTGGGGGCAGGGAGTTCAGGGAGGCCTTCCCGGAGGAAGCCACATCTTACTAAAGTGAGCGGTCAGGGTGGGGCGTGGACAGGACACGGCGGGCGGCCTGAGGACTGGTGGCTTCTAGGAACCGGGAGTTGTTGTTCAGTTAGGAGCTGGGGCAGCGAGAGAAGGGCCGCGAAGGACTCAAGCCTGCCCTCGGGCCTTGGGGGGTCTAAGGAGGGAACTCAGTGAATGGGCTGTCCGTCCCCTGAGGGGCTCAGAAATGTTCTCCCTGAAGCTCTGACCACCCCCGCGCAGCTGGGACAGACCAGGGTCTGCAGCCCGGCACCCTGGCCCTCCCCTCCTTCCCTCCTTCTGGACAACCCCACCACCATTAGCACTCCCAGCAGGGCACAGGCTGTCGGAGCATCTCTCTCTCATGGCATCTTGCTCTCCCATCCAGACTGAGGATCACGCTTGCTTCTTCTAGGAAGCCCCTGACCACACACAAGGCCTCCAGGGCCACCCAGGGCTGCCCAGCACAGGACTGTCCTTCCATGCATCAGGGAAACATTTATAGGTGGGCAGCCCTATATTTGGAGGAAGGTGGGCACCAGACCAGGACAAGACCCAAACCACCTGCAACCAAAACAGCTGCTTGGGGCTGCCCGATTAGCTCAGTTGGTTGGAGCACAGCCTAATAACACAAAGGTCACGGTTTTGGATCCCCCCATCTGCCAAAAAAAAAAAAAAAAGAGGGAGAGAAACGACAAAACAGCAGCTTGGTGCTTGCCTGAGTCAGGTAGGGCTGCCCGCAGCATTCCTAGCCTGGCTCCTGCACCTGCTTAAACCATTCCCACACCTCCAGATCCCTGAGTAGCTTTTAGGGGGCCCAGGGTGGGCCTTAGGATCAGTCCTGAGACAAAAGTAAAGGTGTAGAGAAAAGACTCCACAATAACATAGGATCAGGGGAATGGGGAGCCTGGGCAATGCACACTGCCACACTCCCTATGGCTTCTGGGGCCCCACCCCAATACACACAGACACGCTCACAGCACACACATGCACGCAGATCCACTGTCAGACTGGTTATAAATAGGCCACAGCAGTGGGAGGCTGGCACAGGGCGGCTGTAATCAAGTGTGGCATTTCTAAGGCAAACTGTCTCACCCAGAGTCAGGCAGTTCAGCCACCGAGAACCTTGCTGCTGGCCCACTGGCACAGGGCAGGCTCTGCTCACCCAGCCTGGCTCCCCCACTGGCGGCCTGTGCCAGTGCCTCTCCAGGCCCCAGCTGGCTTTGGGGGAGGTGGGAAGTGGGCCTCTGTCTGCTGCCCTGGGGGCCTGACTCATTCCATGCTGAGTTGGGGCTGGTGCTAAGTGCTTCACACACCTGGCACCTGGGCGGTGGGTTTCAGGTCACTGCCTTGCCCGAAGCCACATGAGTGAGCAGCCAAGCCAGGACTGAACTTGAGAGTCTGATCAGGGCAACCTTCTTAAGAAGGATGTAGATGTCTGGAGACCCACTGCCCTCATGAGCCCCTGGGCTCAGGCACTGTTGCGGATGGCATGGCCAGCTCTGGTTTCAGACCTCCATTCGGCTTGTCTGGGCTGAGCCACCTGCTTGCCCCAAAGGGCGGTGGTCTCACCATGTTGAGTACAGGGCACCACCCTGGCATGGGTCGTGGGTGGAGCTGGAGGTGGAGGCTGCCTGAGGCCAGTCTCCAGGGGGCCAAGGGGCAGGGCAGGGTGTCTGTAGCCCGTTCCCTCTCCCTGCTGCTCCCAGGCAGGAAATAACCCTGTCAGCTGGGATCAGGCCCGAGACAGATTCTGAAACTCTTGGCGAGTGTTTCTGCACATCTGGAGCCGAATTTTCTCTCCCCAGGGGCCCGAGGGAGCCTTGTGCAAGGCTGCAGCTGTTGCTGGGCCCTTCTCCTTCTCCAGGCACAAGGACAGATGTTTGGGCTTCGGCAGAGGGGCCTTTCTCAGCTGTGGATGAGGGGTGGGGTCCTGGCCCCTGCAGTGGCATCGGCAGCTCACCTGCCCCTGAGGCTGCTGGACCAGATGCACCCAGATACACAGTGACGCAGATGCGCGCATGAACTCTGCTACACACACATGCACGCAGATACACTGCCCGACACAGCGACAGATGTGTGCACACAAAATCCCATGCGTATGATGTCATGTGTCATAGTGACACATACACACATATGTATATGGTGACACAGATATGCACACCACACATATACACACACAGCCTCATGCCAACACCATGATACACATACACACTGCCCCTCTGACCCTCCCCCCACAAGCCTTCCCAATAGCCCCCCTGCCTGAGTGGCTGGGGAAATTTCCATGTCAGGCACCAGGGTCCTGGGTGCCAGCTGGGAGGCTTCTTCCAGAATGCCTGGGTATCTGGGGCCAGGGCAGGGCATGCTACACATGTAGCATCGGCTCCCTGAGCCCTCACAAGCACCATGGAGAAGAGCTCCCGCCCCTGTTAAAGGGTGGCCCCCCGTCCATACCCCTGAGGATGCCCCACAGGAAATGGACATCCTCTCCAGCCAGGTCATTGACCAGACAAGAATACATGCTGCTGTGCCCGAGGTTTTGGGGCACACACGGGTCCTGGTGCCAGGAGGGGTGGGACCTAGGAGGAGGGCAGTGAGTTCACAGGACTGGAGGGCTGAGGCCACACGCAGGAGCCCCCATGTCCCTTGCCCAGTGGAAGAACAGCCCCTGCAAGACAAATGACCACCCAGGACTCATGGATCCAGCCAAACAGCAGCTTTATTAGTGGTGCTGGATTCTTTGCATACCTGACAGTGTGCTCGGGAGTCTTCCCTAGGGTTTCCATGGAACACCTCCCGGCGTTCAGGACAATGCTGTGTAGCATTAACACTGGAATGACATAAATAAAGCTTTGGTGTACAGGTTTTCAGGAGAGAGTAGAGGTTAACACTGCGGTACGAATACTTCACACAACGCCGGCTTCAACGTGACTTGGGTTTTGGCCAAGGGGGTAACTTCTAAGTGGTGACGCACGGGCCGCTGCCGCAGCCACCTGGGCCCGGTGCAGGGGGGTCTAGGGCTGAGGCTCCGCCCGGCCCTGCCGCTTGGCCTTCATCTGCAGGTACCGCCCTTTGCCTTCCTCAAAACGCTTCTTCTCATCCTCAGTCTCGGGCTGTGGGCCACACACAGAGACAGGTAAGTTAGAGGCATCGCAGAACCACGACGTGGCTGTCACCCAGCCTGGGGCCCTGCCCCAACCCCTCCCGAGCCGGCCGCCCAGCCGCGGATCTGCCCCACACCAGGAGGGCGCTCAGGGGGTGGCACCTAGGACGGAGGCACCTTCTCATGGCGCTCCCTCGGAACCCTCAGGAAGGTGGGTCCACACACCCAGCGGCGGGGACAACTGACCCACGAGGAGTTGGCCAAAGGCTGGTTTTGCCCAAGACGGTCCTGGCTCAGCTGCTAAGTCCCTGTGGGCCCTGGGCAGCATTAGGTGGTCCCAGCAGCCCCGCCCTAGCCAGGGGTTCAGGTTTAATGAGCTGTGCTAATTCCTCTGGGACATTTCCTTGTGACATTTTGAGGGTGCCTGAAAGCCAAAGAAATGGGGCAGCTGCCCTTCATCCCCAACGACACCAAGCCCCAGCGGCTATTTTTAGGCCTAAGTGTTTTACAGACAAATGGTATATTGGCAAAAGGAAGAACAATTAGCCAGAGGATGTAATGTGAAGTTAAACCGAAGATCTCCTCCCCTCAGCCTTCTCCAAAATCGTTCTCTAAATGTCACCAGGTGTAAACTGCCAAAACCTTGCTGGTTCGGAGCCAATGGAACGTTCGGGTATTTAAAGAAATAGGATCGTGCTCCGTACAGGGGTTCTGGTTCCCGTCTGAAGAGTCTTCAGCACACACATGAAAAGTGGTGGCTTTTCCAAGACACTTGATTGAAGAAGTTCCTCCTGCTGTTCTGGTTTTATCTCTGGCTGACTTTTTAAAAATAAAAGTTGAGGCTATACAATTTGACCTGCAACAGCACAGTGAAAATGAAATGTTCTGTTTCAACTCCCTTGAATCTGACTCTGACTTTCTCAGTTTTAGCAGCAGTGCTAAGGGGACAAGACCCCTGAGCTTCCTGGGGACTGGAAGGCCTGGAGCCCAGCCCCTACTGCTGACGGGGCCCCACGAAGACATGGCCACGCCCTGCTGGGCCAGCTGAAGGCTTCTGTGCACACCCAGGCAGAATGTGCTACAGCCAGGCTTCTCACACTTTTATGTGCAGATGAATTTGAGGATCCTGTAAATGCAGACTGATCCGGTGGGTCTGGAGGTCAGAGCTGAGACTCATTTCTGACAAGCTCTCAGGTGACCTGATGCCACTGGCCTGTGGACCACGCTGAGTAGCAGGGCCCTGCCCCTTCTCTGTCCACCCCTGCCCCAGATGGGGGACATCTGAAGTGGTCCAGAATGCAAGGTCAAAGCCACCAGGCTAGACCACAGGGGCCTTTCCCTCCCCACCCCTTCCCAATGGGACTTGCTTGGTGTGGTGGAAGAAAGCCTGCAGCTCCAGTTTATCCTGCAGTGGCCAAGGTCACGGCTTCCTGCCTAGCTCACAGCAAGCACTGTGGACTGTGTGAGGGACCTTGGAGCTGGGAAACGAAGTCAGGGGCCGGGAGTCTGGACGCTGGGTTGTGCTGGCTCTGGAGCAGCTGTGGCAGCCGCAGGAGGCAGCATGGGGGTTGGGAGCAGGACAGCAGGAGAAAGGGAAAGACGGGCTGGGCCATGTGCTCAGCTTCCTCCCAGTCTAAAAGCCTGGCCCCTCTGCTGGGGCCCTCTCTCTAGCTGGTGGACTATCTGCCCCCCAGGGAGTAGAAAGAGGCAAGAGGCTTGGGAAGAAAAGGAATCCCCAAAAGCAAGAGAGAGTGAGCCTGGCCTGAGAGGGGACATGGCCTGAGCCCTGGACATGGCTCTGAGTGCGTCAGGGCCAGTTCCTGCCTGATGTGGGGAGGGACCTCTGTTTCTCCCACCTGGTGCTCCTGGGAACATGCAGAAGTGGGATACTGGTAAGAACTTGGTCCCCAAATGCCTGGGCCACCAGTCAAATGTTCTCAGGGCTCAAGGGAGCTGGGAGAGGCTGAGGAAGAGCTGCCAGGCCCAGGTCTTGCCACTGGATGCCACATGCACGGACTGGCAGAGGGCAGTGGTCATCAGAGCTGCCTGGCTCTGCCACAATGAATGCTGCACCTTGGGCAAGTTCCTTGTTACCCTGCACTTCGGTTTCCTCATCTATAAAGGGGGAGAAGAGTCTGTCCTCCAGGTTTGTGTCGATGTGGGCAGCGGGTAGGGTATCCAGGCAGCATGCCGGCTCGAGGGCCGCAAGGGACGGCGGCTGCCATTAGCTGGCAGATGACCCGCTGTGGGGGAGGCGTCAACCTGGATGACCTTCTGCATCCCTTCTGTTATGGTCTGAATGTTCGTGTCCCCAAAGTTCACATGTTGAAATCCTCACCAGCGAGGTGAGAGTGTGAGGATCGGGGCATTTGGGAGGAGATCAGGTCATGGTGTGGGGCCCTTACAAGACAGGCCAAGAGAGACCCCGGGCCCTTCTGCCATGTGAGGATGCAGCGGGAAGATGGACATCTATGCACCACGGCACTGCCACGCCCCAGGTGTCCTCCAGCTGTCCAGAGGCATCCATGAGGATGCCGACACTGCCGGCACTCTTAGAGGAAGTCACACAGTGGGGCCATTACCCTGTACTTCCCCCCCAGGCACTCAAGGAATCCTCCTTCTAGGTGATAAAATTTGGAAGTGAGGGGCGAGGAGAGGGGGGAACATTCACATCTGGAAGCCAGCGCAGAATAATGAGACACCAGTTGGATCCTTATCCGGGTTGGGGCTGGGGGAGGCAAGCGAGGTGCCCGGGGCTCCACCCTGGCCCTGTGTGCAGCGCGAAGATGCAGCCGAGCAGAGCTCCTGAGCTGCTCCTCCGTCAGGCCCAGGGCCCTGCCCTGCACCCTGTCACCTCAAAGGACTCACAGCCTCAGCAGCCAACAGGCCGTGAGTGTTCCAGAACGAGTGCGTCACGGGCTCTGGCCGCTTCTCTCACTAGGTCAGTCAACACGTGACCCAAGGAGGGCACAGGCCAAAGTGGTCAGCCCAGGGCAGAGGGAGAGCGGCGCCCAGCACTGAGCCTCAGGCTGCTCTGATGTGTCTCTGATGTTTAATATTTGCAGCAAACTCATCAGCCGGGAACTGCCCTCAGACAAAACTAACACTGTCTGATGATAGATGAGCAGGAGGTCGGCCAGGAGAGCGTGGCCAAGACTCTGCAAGAGCCTGGGAGGAAGGAGGCAGCTGACGGCCTCATTGCTCTTCTGTCTCTGGGGACGGGGGCATGTGCTGACCATTCTGGGCTCAGACAGAGTCCAGGCAGGCCCAAGAGCTATGTTCTGCCCACCCTGTGAGCGCTGCCATCCTCCCCTAGTTGCCTGGAGGGGTGTCCGGCCCGGGCAGAAGTTCATAAAGAAGATGGTTGAGGGTAGTGAGGTCCCAGGCAGCTGAGGACCCTCGCTCACCACCCAGCAGGGAAGGGAACAGAGCAGAGGGAGTCAGGGCACTGTCTCTGCTCCCCATGCCAGGAGGGTCCCTGGCCCGTTGGCTGGTGGGCAATCAGCCTCCTCAGCTGGGAGCCCTGATACACTGCTCTCCAACCCAAGGGACTCTGGGGGCCACCATGTCCCCACTGGGTGTGGAGCTGACAACGAGACAGATGGCTCCCTGCACACAGCCCCCGCCCACGACACAGCTGCCACCTCCTCGCAGCGTGGCTCCATCCAGCAAAGTAAATAAATACATAAGTTATTGGCTGTTGCTGTTTTCAATGGAGGGTTGGGGGTGGTGGGGAGAAGGAGGAAGCTCCTTCATGGGAAATCAATTTCCATCAAGTGCCTGAAGCCGTTGCTGGGGAGAAGGGCTTGGGACATCAGGAGCACCTGTGAGAGGCTCCGGGCACCCGAGAGCCCACTTGCAGCCTTGGTCAGGCTCCTCCGAGCCTCTGGGGGCTCCCAGCACACATGCCAAAGAGAAAAGCAGAGGCAGAAAAGGGGACTGCGAGTGGCTCAGACATGGTGACCCCCTTGTATCACAGGTGTGGTGGGAGGGACAGGGAGGTCAGCAACGAGACCGAATCTGGGTCCCACAGACCTGCCTGTGTGGCCTCAGGTGCTGTCCACCTTCCCAGGGCGAGGTTCTCTCATCTGTGAGATGAGGACTCAACGACTCAACGAGGTGACATGGCAAAGTGCTTTGCCTGGTGCACACGAGTTCCTACATCGTGTGTGTGTGTGTGTGCGTGCGTGCGTGTGTGTGTCTGCGATGCCTGGTGCACACGAGCTCCTACATCATGTGTGTGTGCGTGTGTCTGCGATGCCTGGTGCACACGAGCTCCTACATCGTGTGTGTGCATGTGTGTGTGTGTGTCTGCGATGCCTGGGTGCACACGAGCTCCTACACTGTGTATGCGTGTGCACGTGTATCTATGGAGGTAATCCAGCTCTCCTCACAAACGACCTCAGAGGCCAAATGCACTCCTGGGGGTGGCGGCTGCTCCAAGGACATCCCTTGTTGCCACATCTGCCCACCAGCAGCACTGCCCTGGGGGGGAGTGCCAGATGGCCCTGGGGGACATCTTAAGGCAGCAGGTCCTTTAGGAAGTCATGCCACCATGAGCACATGAGGCTGAGGGGAGGCACCCAGGCCAGCAGGTCAAAAGTGGGCCGGCTCCTTGATGCTCGGGGAGCTCTGCCCGGCGCTCGGCGCTCGGCACCCGGCCCTGCTCCCTCCCACCTGGTGGCTGCCTGGGCCTCCGATGCTCTTTTTCCTCCCTCCTCTCTGCTTCCTGCCAAGTGCTGTCTTCTGGGCTTTATTCCACTGCAGGGGAAGCCTGTGGCTTTCAGAGCCTAACGCTGCAAACCAAATGTTTTCCATTTTGCGTTTTCTGTGCTTCAAGAACACACATTTGGAACGTGGCACAGAGGAAAAGTGACTAAGTTCCACCCTCGGTAAAATCAATCGCTTGTCCTTTTCGTAATTACTGAATGTCTGGTGTGAAGAGGTTTCCAGTGGTGATGCAACAACTTCCTGTAAGCCTGAGGGACACAACCCTTCTTAATTAGGAAG